GGGGGGGGGTCAACAGGGAAGCAGGTGTTAGCTCAGACAATGACTGACTCGTCATCTTGATGGTATTTAACATTTTGATAATGATGTTTTAATAAAGGCCCTGTCACAATGTAACATTTTAGACAACTTATGAAATGTTCTTTTCCACTAAATTACTAATAAAAGTTAGATATTTGATCAGGCATTACATGTGCATGCCTAAAAGAAGCTTCCAGGTCATTTTTTAAATCCCATCTTTAATGTAGATTTCTCCAAACTTTTCATAAGGTGTCTAAAATGTCAGAGTGACAGGCTCTTAACAGAAAAATTAAACAAGCAATTAACCACGTGTCAAACTCAAGGCCCGCAGGCCAAATCGGGTCCTCGTTAACATTTTGTCTGGCCCTTAAGGTAATATTTTAAATGTAAAATTGTTTCATTTTTTTTGTCTTTTTATCACTGTATTTAGTTTGTTTTTCTCAATAGAAGTTGACTTTAATTCTGTAGTTTCTTTAAAGTCAAATAATTGGATTTGTAGAGAAGGTTGTTTTTTTAGCTGATTTACTGATTGTGATAAATGTATCTAAGAATAGTAAATGAAATAGTTGTATGTAGAGTATAAGGCCTAAGAAATGAAGGCTAATGATGTGTATTTCTAAATGTATTCTTTTTTTCTTTATTTGTTAGGGTATGTTTGTTCTAAACGCTACATAATCATAATTTTGAAAAAGGAATTTGTATTTCAATAAGAATAATTTGTTGGATACAATTTAAAACCAATAATTTTTTCTGTAAATATTGACAAGAGGACACTTCTTGTAAACACTGCTGGAGCAGAATCAGAGCATCCAGGACATGGTATGTCCAGAAGTTTTGTTTTTAAACAAACAAAAACAACTGAACATATTTTGCCTTTTTTTTTCAGGTTAATCCAAATGCAAAAATATTCCTAAAATCTAAAGAGCTCCCCGTATTTTCATTTAGTTTCCCAGTTTTTGTTTCGCTCGTAATCCAGCAGACTATTTCAGACATGCAGCTTTCTAAAAGGATCTGGGGACAACTACTGGTCTTGGTCTGATGCATCCTGTGTCACACTGACCTGCAGAGCCCCGATGGCTGCGCTTTGGAAACGCAGGTCAGTCTTGAAGTCCTGGGCGATCTCTCTCACCAGACGCTGGAAGGGCAGCTTGCGGATCAGAAGCTCAGTGGACTTCTGATAACGACGGATCTCACGCAGAGCCACAGTACCGGGCCTTTCCGTAACAAAAGCAAAACATAGTTTTACAAAGTAGTGGAAAAGCAGAGCTCGGTTACTTCCATTAAAGACAAGTTAAAATATGAGTCTGGGGCTGTTCCTGTCTGTCTCACCTGTAGCGATGGGGCTTCTTGACCCCACCAGTGGAAGGGGCACTTTTACGAGCTGCCTTTGT